TTTTTTGGAAGCTGGGGTCGGGGGTTGACCCCCGCCGGGGCCCCGGTCCCGGGGGTCGACAACCCTGGTAACGGGGACCATATACCTGCCGGAACTTGGATGGTACATGCTAGGAACGGAATTGGCACTAGGTCACGGGTTGCTACCAATCTTCCAGAGGGCTACTAGGATGTTGAACAGCGTGGGCCAGGAAGTGCGGGGGAGAAGAAACGTGGGATTAAGAACTTGGGTGGAGGTCAGAGGCTGGCGAGAGTTTAAGGCCCCAATGACCGGGTTGAGGTGTCGAGTACCTCGTTTCATGGTGGACTTGGTATTCGGTAGCCTCAAGAGAGCTAGGGACCTGGTGGATTCGACCTTGGTCTGGATCCACCTCTTCCGGCCACAAACAACGAGCATGTTCTACGATGTATCGGTCAGACACTGGCCGTTCTGAGGGAATCAGGCCTGGGAACTACTCGAATTACTCGAGATCTTGATATTCGGATTGCCCCACCTGTCGTTTGAAGAATATGAGCCAATAATTATTAGGGAAATAGAGATGGGGGAAAATTACCTTGCTGGGCTGGCTGACCTGTTCGAGGAACCGGATGAGCAAGGCAGGCCTGAGGGACCAGCATGAGAAAACGCGTCAGGGAGAGGTAGGGAAATAAAGGTTGGGTACTAAGATAAGTAGGCAGCCATCAGCAAAAGAGGGAAAGTGGTTGGAGTTCTGGCCGACCCAATGATGCGGCAGGGAGGAACTAGGAAGACCACCCGCTCCAAAAATTATGGGGCACCTGGATGCCAATAAGCCGAAAGGGCCATCCCCAATAGAGAAGCCACTGGGCTCAGGCACCGCCCTAAGAATCAAAGCGCGACAGTAATGAAATGCCAAGCGACGGCGGCAAGGCCCCGGTAGAAGAAAACCTGAAAAAAAAAGTCAGAAGAGTCGTACTGATTAATGTAAGACGCAAAAATATGGGAATAGGCGGACTTTAAGGGCTGGGACTAGGGCAGTTATGAACAACCGGCCATGTTTCGCAAAATTTTTTCCATGTGCAGGCTAGGTAAAGGAATAGCGATGGAGGAAAAAATTGAGGATCAGCAGAGCAAAGGGAGTCAGGGTACGAATGAGGATGGAGAACGAAACAAGGGATCAGCAAGGGATCGAGAGTCAGCCAAACCAGAGGGAACCCGAGAAGACGGAAAGGACCTCTCAATAGGAGAAAGCTCGGGGAAAGTTGGGGGTAGCAAAAGGGGACCTCAGGAAAACAGGGAGGGGGGAAACGATACGAGAACAAGCCCTCGGAACTTAGCAGGAACCACCCCTAAAAAGACGAAAGTCGCGGATACCAGTCGTAAACTGGCCGAGATAGAAAAGCGCACTGCAGAGTTTAAGGCAAAGCTTATCGAACAAATGATGGTCGGGGATGAGGGGGACCCCCAGGGCGCAGGGTCACGAGAGGGGCGGAGGACCAGTCAGGACGAGACCAGGTATGAAGGAAAGGATAATAGCCACAAGGGAACGCCTAGCAAGAAGGGGAAGGACAAAGGCGACCCCCCGACGGAAGGAATAGAAAACGCTATGACCCCACCCGCCATCGACAGCGGCACTAGCAAACTGCCCGCCACGCCAAAAGTAACAGGGGCGTGTGCCGGACTCTGGAGCCTTAGGGAAAGAGTGCTAGGATGGTTCGACCCAGAAGGAACGCCGAAAACCAGGGAGAAGCAGAGGGAAAGCAAGGAAGGGGAAGAGACCAGTGCAGTTGGAGAAGCGGGTGGCTCCGAAGATGGTCTCCAGAGGGTAGTCGCCACCCTCACCAGGACACTAAACAAGAACCAGGGGTATCTCGCAGATGCAAAGAAGAAACTCACGTTCGATGGGGCCAACATTACGGAGTTTCTAATAGACTATGAGAACCTAGCAGCCTTACTGAAATGGACAGAAGAGGAAAAGATGGAGCACCTAGGGCAGCACGTGTCGCTAAGCTTGGGAAGGTACATTATGGTCATTGTCGCCTCCAGTGGATCCTGGAAAGAAACCAGGAATGAGATGATGAGGAAATACCTGAAGGCAGAGAAAAAGTGGTTCGTTTTTCGGAGCCCAACAAGACGCTCAGATGGATCCAGGACTTGCAGAAGCTAAATGCGGTTACAATCCGAGATGAGGGATCGCTTCCACAGCCAGATTTGTTGGCTAAATCTCATGCCGAGCGTAGCATTTACTCCCTGATAGATTTACACTCGGGATATGATCAACTGCCACTCGACGCTGGGGACAGACCATACACCGCCATGCACACCCCGAAAGGGCAGCTGCAGATGCAAGTGACCCCTATGGGCTTTACAAACGTTGTGGCAGAGACGCAGAGGAGGATGCTTGCGGTCGCAGGGGACATGTTTCCAGAAAAATGTGAGCCCTACATAGACGATAATCCCATAAAAGGCGCGCAGAACAAGAATGAGATGGAGGTCCAGCCGGGCATACGAAAGTTCGTTTGGGATCAACTACAGGATATCAAGGATCTACTTCAGCGGTTCCTGGTATATAATATTACCGCAAGCGGACCTAAGAGCATTCTGGCGATCCCAGAAGTGACCATACTGGGGTTTCGCTATGGGGCCTATAAAAGGAAACCAGACCCGGCAAAAACAGATAAGATCTCTCAATGGCCAACACCACTGCGCACCACGACGGAAGTGTGAGCCTTCCTAGGGGTAATCGGATTCTGGAGAGCCTATCCGTGCAATGATTAGGGAAGGAGGGACCATGGAGTGGACCGAGGATAGGGAGGCAGCAGCCCAGACTCTCAAAGACGTCTTGTCTTCCGACCAAGTCACCTTGGCAGCGCCCTGATATGCCAAGAAACGAGCTCCACGCGAGTCTTTGAACCCCTTAGACCTACCTGGGTACTAGGTTCGGGGCATCTGGTCCACCTCGACCTGGCGGTCATGCCTGTATCGACGGATGGATACAGGTACATCTTGGATGCAAGAGAGAACCTCAGCGGCTACGTGAAGGCGGTAGCTCTTAAGAAAAAAACGGGAAAGGGAGTGGCCGATTGGATAGAAGACTTCTACCTTAGGCACCCCTTTGTGCGCAGATTCATAGCAGACAATGGAACGGAGTTCGTCAACCAGGTGGTGTTGGGCAGGCTTAAGGCACTGTGCGTACCTATCAAGATCATCGAACCATATCACCCTGAGGCCAATGCACCAGTAGAAAAGGGGCATCGGACCTTGAAAAACACAATCGCTAAGTTGGCAGTCGATGACCTAGGGAACTGGCCTCGGTACCTTAAGCAGGCGGTCTTCTCCGAGAACATGACGCCGAAAAGGACGACGGGATGCATTTCGGCGGAACTCTGGTATGGGAGGGAGATTGACTTCCCGGTGGAAGCCCTGGTTCCTACCTGGAACAGGCTAGATGACAATCCGCACATGTCTACGGAAGAACTAATTGTCGCACGCTGCCAACAGGTCGTGAGAAATGAGGAAGCCTTGGAGGAGGTGGTTAAACGAGTAATGGATAGTCGAATGACGGACAAAGCAAGGTGGGATCAGGTAGAGAACATCCGGAAGGAGCCGCTCCAGGTGGGGGAGAAGGTACTAGTTAGGAACTCAGCTCTTGAAAGCACGTGGTCTGGACAGCTAGAAAGGTTCAAAGGTCCCTACAAGATCGCTAAGAGGGTGGGACTGAACACATTTGAGCTTGAGGATCTTGATGGCACTAGGATAAAAGGGCCATTTCCGGGACAAAGGCTGGTCAGGTTTTTGAGCACGGATCCAGTGGAGCAATGGTTACAGGAGGCTCAAGACACGGAAACGGGGGAATTGACAACTTGGAAGGCAGGCAGCTGGCTACGATTCTATTCCGCCTCCCCGCCTCCCTGTGGAAGTGATCATGACTGCAGGGGTTGTTCGTTTTGTGTCTCCTTTCCTGTGGAACATAGGGTGACTTCCTGGGCTGGGTGTGAATGAGGTTGGGAGTATGGGACAATGTACCATAGTTTTTGTGGGGCAATTCTGGGGACTGTCTACACGGGGTACACACGTGCTGGGGCAATGTGCCAGAGGTTCTAAGGGGTAATTAGACTACCAATTATAAGGGCGCAAGCAAGGGTTCTGAGGAAGCCTGCAAATCTGCAAATTGGACGGGAGGGGGGGGGTGCGTATGAGGGGTTGTCGTGACTGTTGTGTGTGAACAGGACCAGGGAAAAAGAAAACAGCAAGAAAGAATAAAGATGGAGTTTGGAAACGAGAATGACAGCAACGCCATCAACAGGCCTACAGGGGAACGGCCCACTAGACAGGCCGGAGAGTCAAGCTCCAGGAAAAGGAAGTTGTATGTGGGATTTGACCACAATCTGGTTCTCCCAGGGGACCGTCGCCCCTGAGAGAGGGGGAACCAATAGTTCTCCCATCTGACAGTGACACTAGTAGTGAGGAGGAGGGGAGCCTAGGGAAAAGGCAGAGAATGGAAGAGGAAAAACCCAAAGAGGTCATAGACCTCAGCAGTGAGGAAGAGGAGGACGAAGTCACGACGCCTACGAGAGAAGTAAGGGGAAGGGATGAGGACCCAGGCGACAAGAAGGATAAGTGGATAAGAGAATTTGGGCCGTCTTTCAGTGACTGGTTCGACCAATGGGCCAGTATCATGAGGTATGAATGGGCAATGAAAGGGAAGGAGAAACTAAGCAGAGGAGAGGACATATAGCGCCAACAACATTTTTCACAGAAGAGGAGCTCCTACAAATGCAAAGGACAAAGAGAAAGATGCAGTAGGAGATCGACAATCGTGGAAGGGAGGCTCGACGCAGGGCAACTCGACAGTAAAGGGGTAGTAGACATAACAGGGAATAGTTAGAGAATGCGCAGGGCTGGAACCTGGGCAGGCGGAACTGCCATTTTAAGTCTTGCATTTGAACTTTCTGAGAATGGACTACAATGGGACAACTTTCCGCTTAGAATGACCAAAGACTGGGTAACTAGTGCTACTTTCCATAAGTAGTTGCTTCTTCAGAAGAACATGTGGGTCGATGAGCTTAGGACTAGGACTATGAAGCATTGGGTAGAAAGTAAAGGGAAGAAAGGGGAGGGCCTAGATGAGACAAGTCTGTAATATTGCTTCTGCATTCGAACTTGTCTCCTTTTTTTTCTGGCAAAAACCACGACAAAGTTACTCTTTGAACTGGGGAAGTAAACAGGGACTAGGTAGCCAGTGCTACTTTGCATAACTACTTGCTCCTTTGGAAATACGGGGATCTTGGATGGTGAGACACGGACTGGGGATGGTTAACGTTGTTTTGGGAAAGGGCAAGAGCGTGTGGATTGTTGAGATGGAAGAAAAGTTTATGACAATGAGTTGTTCTTTTGAAAATGTGCAACCCTGGTTGAATGAGTTGTGATATGGGTTTCTGTGAGAGGTTAGGGGACCTATGGGTAAAGAGGTATGAAGAACCCTCTTCCCTAGGAGCCTAATCCAACCTATCGCGAAAAAGTCCAGAGCAGTAAAAGGCATGAGAGGTCAGAAAGAGGAAAACATTGGTTGAGCAAACAATCTCCGCAATGGTTGAACGGCCGGGCGGGCTAGTGCTGCTTGGGGTTGTGAGCCTCAAATTGAGCACTAGATGCTAAGTCGGGTGTATGTATGGGCATGAGAATGGTGAATGGCACGACACGAGAGGCAAAAACATGTGTAAAACACAAGAGATGGCCACCTTCTAACCTCCGAGACAGAGATAGGATCCGTGTCCTCGAGGCCCACCCCCTCGGGCGCTAACGTTGAAATGGATAAGGATGGCCCTAACCACGCTGTCCGATTGAAATGGATAAGGATGGCCCTAACCAGGTTGTCCGATTAAAATGGATAAGGACGGCCCTAACCAGGCTGTCCGATGGAAATGGATAAGAATGACCCTAACCAGGCTGTTCGACTTGGATTTGGAAAGAACGACCCTAACCAGGTTGTTCGGAATGGCCTCTGACAAGGGTCATTCTTTGAAATTGGCACTGGGGTCCCCTTGCATGACTGCTTGAGATGGTCGAGATTGAGAAGAGCTTAGCCTTGGAAAAGAGATTGAGTTGAGCCTTGGAAAAGAGAATTGAGCTGAGCCTTGGAAGAGAGATTGGACTGAGCTTTGGAAAAGATATTCGACTCAGCCTTGGCAAAGATATTGGACTCAGTCTTGGAAAAGATATTGGACTCGGCCTTGGAAAAGATATTGGACTCAGCCTTGGAAAAGATATTGGACTCAGCCTTGGAAGAAATACTGGATTGAGCCTTGAAATTGGATTGAGCCTTGGAATTGGACTGAGCAGTGGAATTGGACTGAGTAGTGGAATTGGATTGAGCCTTGGAATTGGATTGAGCTTTGGAATGGGCTTGAGCATTGGACATGGATTGAACAGTGGATTTGGAATGAGCACTGGAAATTGCATTGCATAAACAGGGGACCCTAGGCAACTTGAAATGGACTTGGAAATAGCATTGAAATGGATTTCTCTTTTCTTCTAGTCCTTGGCCTCAGCAAGAGGGGGATACTGGTGCTCGCACCGCGACCCCAAGATATTTATCCCTTAAAGGGAAAAGTCTCAGCGCGACCTGTTCCTCTTACAAGGGGATGAGGGTTAAAGGACTAAGGCACCTACCGCTTGGATCGGTGCGGGACGTCCGGAACTGACCCCGACAATGAGCTCTAGTCGGGGAGTTCAAATTGCGCCTCATGTTGAACGCCTAAACGTCAAAGGGTGAGAGAACGAACCAAATAGGCGAGAGAGTCATTCTCATTCTAGTCTATTTTGCTACTCTCCAAACACACGCCATGCCATAGAGGGGTGGCATAGCCGTTTGGGTCGGACCTCGGCTACCCGCGCTAAGTTGGGTGGCACTGTCCAAGGGGAGAGGCTGGCGAGGTACCGGGTGAAGGCCGCCACCACCACGGGGCATTGATACTGCTCTGCCGGAACATTACAACCGTTTCGGGACTAATTGCGAGGTCTTCGTAACTGCACTCGCGAACTAATAGAGAGCCCCAACTGTCTTGAAAGGAAAGGCCGGATCCAGAAAACTACCACTCGGGAGGAACGATTCGCGAGGAAAACTCTTACGGCTAGACAAGGCCCTGAGAGGTTTGGACTGGACCTACCTGCCAGATTTGGGGAGGAACCTCAGTATTGGTGTTCGCCACGTAATAGAAAAAGGTCGGATCGAGTAGGAGGATGAGGCGTCACCCGCTGGGGAGGAACTGATCACTCTTCCTTTTGTGAAGCGGATGGGCTTGTGTCCTTGACTGCGGTCGGCGGGCCAAAGGTCTGCGTACCTCCGAGTGAGAACCAGTCGCGCGATGGGGACATCGCGTTTTGAGCGGGGGGAAGGTGTGTCATCTATCAATGAAAACGCACACAAAAGACGTGTGTAATTGGCTTTGCGTGGGCCTGAGAAAAGGCGTCTGGCAAGATGCCCAAAACAAAGAAAGACTTGTGTAATTGGCTTTGCATGGGCCTAAAAAAAGGGGCCTGGCAAGATGCCCACAACAGAAAAAGACTTGTGTAATTGGTATTGCGTTGGCCTGAGAAAAGGGGGTCTGGCAAGATGCCCAAATGAGAAAAGACTTGTGTGATTGATTTGGCATGAGCTTGAAAATGGGCCGGGCAAGACGTCCGAAAGAGAAAAGACTCGTATGATGGACTTTGCATGGATCTGAGAAAAAAGGCTGGCAGGCTGGGAAACGGATGAGTAATTGGTTTGCATGGGCTTGAAAAGAAGGTCTGACAGGGTGTCTAGAAAAGAGATGTACGAGGGATGAACCGAGCATTGCACACGGAAAGTCAATAAAGACAGAGGGTGATAGGCATGCAGAATTGGCATGACCTGAGAAAGGCCGGGAAAAACGACCTGGGGAAATGTATGTGGATTTTGGCAAAACCTGAGCTTCGGGGAAGGGTGAAGGGAAAACATGGATTGCACGGGCCAAAGGATTCGAAGGAAAGAAACATTGAAAACATGGATTGCACGGGCCGGAAAGTAGATTATGTTTTATTTTCTAAGAGTAATGAAAGAGACGAAACCAAGATGGTTTCTGCTCGAGAATGTTTTCTCAATGAAATGGGAAGAGAGATTTGAGATTACAAAGCCCTGAGGGGGAGTTGTGCCTGTGTTCATCGATTCGAAGTGGGTATCACCATAGTAAAGGCGGCGGTTGCACTGGACAAACATCCCCCTTCCGGAGCAAATGCCTGACATTGAGTCACATCCGAAAACTTGCCTACAATTTGTTATCAACAATGCCAAGGCATATAATGAGAAAACCGATTGTGTTATGGCGACAAATGGTCATCTTGGGAATAAAGTCAGCATGCCAGTAGTTAAGTGCATGAAGCAAAGAGAGCCTTGTCTGCTTCATGTTACTGAAGTCGAAAGAATTATGGGTTACCCTGCTGGGCATACAGAGTTGACTGAAGAGGAAGTTCGTATCTCGATTGAGGGAAAGATAAAGAGGCAGAGCTATGATGGAAATGAGCAACCTTGTCTAAGCTGAAGGGAGGAAAGGGAAGCCCGGAGAAGAACCTAGGCAGAGCTATGATGGAAATGAGCAACCTGGTCTAAGCTGAAGGGAGGAAAAGGAAGCCCGGAGAAGAACCTTTGACTCCCCCATACCCTCCTCCACCCCAAGGGGCGGAAGCTAAAGAAAACCTTGAGAAAAAAATGGGAAAAGAACAAAAAGAACCCTAGCAAGCTAACTAACCGTCTCACCCCACCCCCTCTCCCCTCCGTCTACATCTCCAAATCCCTACTGACTAAGGACTGGTGCGCGATGAGGACATCGCGAATGAGGGGGGGGAATGTGTCGGGAATGATGAGTCCCGAATAACATCCCGCCACTCGAGAGACTGTATATGGCATATTTGTGCACAGCAGAGAAAATCGGAAGCAAGGAGGATGGAAGGATTGAAGGCGTAGGCACAGACACTTGGATCTCGAGGCTGCCCGGAGTCGCTGGGGCCATGGAACCGTGAGGAAATTAACGGAACGGGAGGCGGCAAAAGGACCGCAAGAAAATGGCAAAGGCGACCCTTCC